GAGAGCGAGATTGAAAGAGCGATTCATACCGATGGAGATCTTCAGACGACAATGGCGAGCGGAAGAGCTAGAGAGTAGAGCTATGCATGTCTGTAATGAGAGAGAGAGAGAACAATCCGTGTTTTAATTTTTCTAAAACTAGGGCAAATATAAGGAAGGAAAACGGGTAAAAGAGGAATAAATTGGTTATTTGCGACGGCTGATCAAGTGGTCGCAAATTATATAGTAGCAAAAGGTCCTTTTTCTAGTAGTGTGATGTGATGGGAAAGATTATGTGATGGTTGTGCTCCACAAGGGTTGAATTTCTCATATTCAAGTTTTAATATTATAGCATTTGAGGAAATTATAAGAATTTTGTTTTGATATTTTGAATTGTTATTATATAAGATTTTTAATGTATCTCATCTATAAAGGAAATTAATTTGTTCTAATAGTCGTAATATTTTTATTTTATAACACTTATTTTCGAAAAAATAAATGATAAATAGAATTTTAAAAATAAACCATTTGTGTATTTAGAGACAAATAAGACAAAATAAAAAAAAAATTATAATTATCGAATCGATTTATTTTTTTCATTAATGATATATATTTAGAGTATTATAAAATGAACGATTCGAATCATCAAAATAAGATCCATGGTAAGGTCCATAGACCCCTAAAATTCTCCCATGTTGGGATTTGAATATGGAAAAAATTCAACTCTTACATTTAGTAGTTAAACTTGGGGGAGTAAGTACTTTTTGTTATAATTTTAGAGGATAAAATGGCAAATGACAAAGGAAGCTCCAGACAAACGTATTTGGCTGGAAGAGGTCCCAGAGGTTAGTGCATATTTTGTTGAGTGAAGTTCCCATTTTGTGATGGGGCCGAACCCTCCACCCACTAACGAAAAAATAAATAAAGTAAGAAATGCACCACAATATTATAAAACTATCAAAAAATCACTCAATGTGATGGGCCATTATCCTCCATTCGGCAAATTTTTGTAACTTATCATCGACAATTTTTCTAGTCATATATAAAACTTATTAAAAAAAAATAACAAAAATAATATAACAATGTTATTATGATAAATAAATTCATTTTTATAAATATATTGTTTTCAAATAAATAGATTTTATTGAATCACATCATTTTGTGTAAATTTTCTGTTTATATCTTATAATTCTATTATAAATAAAATTTTTGCAATCTTTTCGTATAAGATTACAGTCACACACATTTTTATAATACTTTTTACCATCTACTCACAATGAAAGTAGGTCCCATATCTTGTGATGATATGAAATTTATTCCCATTATGAATAAATGACAAAAAAAATTGTAAAAAAAAGTGTGACTAAAGTCGGACTCACAATGTAAACATTTTTTCATTTGTCTTTCTAACTTCACATATTTATTTTCCTCTCTATCTTATGTATTGTGTTATGCCATTACAACATTTTCTTAGTTTAGTGACATTTGAAAGTGTCACAAAACTATTGGTTTAATGACATTTTTTAGTCTTATGGCATTTTGAACAAGTGCCATTTGTATCCGTGCCACGGTAGATACTAGTGCCACAGTAGATATTTGCAAGTGTCACTGCACGATCATGGCTAAAAACTTTTAATGACATTTTAATGTCATGGTAGATATTTTTTTTGGCACTATCAAGCGCCATTAAAAAAAGAGTTAGTGACACTTATAAGTGTCATTACACCATCAAAACTAAAACCTTTCAGTGACACTTTAATGTCATGGTAGGCACTATTCGTGACGCTATCAAATGCCATTAAAGAAGACTTGCAATCTAAAAAATGCCACGAAATGGATTTTTAATGACGCTTATTATGCCACAATTGATATTTATAACACCTTTATAAATGCCACTAAATCTAATTCATTTGTGCCATTAAATAGATATAAGTGCCATTGAAACTTATTTTAGTGACACTTTGCAAAGCTACTATCACTACTACAAAATGCCACTTATATATTTTTTTTCATTGACAATTTTAAAAGCTACAATTATGCATGCGTAAATACTTATAAAAATTGAATCAATTTATAAACAATTAAATATTAATTACCACATCATATATTAATTTGACATCCATTCATCATGTAATATTTTCATAATAAAAAACAAATATTACCACCATAAGATCATCACATCAAAAATAAAAAAAAAAATTCAAACCACAATCAATTATTTATTATTGAAATATAAAATTATTTATATTGCAAAAAAAATCCCTTGCCAAAATTATTAAATATTCTACCACACTAACAAAGTTAAAGCAAAAACAATTTAAAAGAAAATTATTCCAACCATAAGTTCTGAAAAGCCATAGTGATATGCATATTCTGGAGAGAAAAATTATCAAAAATAAAATCAGTTCCCAAATTCTCAATCTCACTTGTATAAATATTATCGGCTAGCATCCATAACTTGTGAAATCTGCATCCAAAAGATAAACATACGAAGGTAATTGAAACTATATTAAGTTAATATAAATTTGTTAATAAAATTAGTATTTACGAAAGAAGTATACCACAAATAGAGCAGGCCAAGCAACATGAGCTCCAATAGCTTGTCCAATTGTTTTGACAAGTCCATATGATCGGATCAAGCTCTCATTAGGTTTGATTGGCACTTGAACATGTACCTCCCAATAGTCAGGTCCCAATTCTTCCCCTTCTACTTCTTTAGATGCGTCTGTGCTTTTAAGTACTCCGATTGCAACTGTTTCCGTTGGCCTAATGATACTTTTTGGAACAACTATATCTCCCACATGTAAATCAAGATTTAACTACTCAAGTAATTGTATATTTAAAATTAATAAATAATATTTAAAAAAAACTAGTACAAAGTGTTAGAGTGAAGATGATCACAACTGAAAGTGATATGGATTTCTCTAGTAGATAAGCAAGCCAAATGCTTTAATCACTTAATAGGTTTACTACACTATAACAAATTATATAAAAGTAACAATCGTAAAGCTTTAGACCATATCAAACAATAGCTTAAAAAATCAATAACAACCAAAAGCACCAATCAACAACAATCAAAACCATGTCCATTATCAATATCAGGATCATCTAACCTCAACGATGTAAATCAAATGTAATTGTGAAAAATGACAATCAACTAATTACTTTCAAGCAATATTTTGAGAGAATCAGAAAAAGCCCATGCGGTAGTAAATGATGGAGAGATGTCTTGTTAAAGCTTTAGAAGAAAATTAAATTAATTTTTTTTAAAAAAATAGCAGAAACTTCGTCATGTCATGATTTAGACTATGTAGCACATTTTGTCTTGATTTAAATAATGAAATTTATGTCCGCAATATTCATTCCTTGGTTAATTGTAAAATAAGTGTTACATGCTATTCTAAAATAAAGTTGGAAGTATTGTGATATATATGATTAGCTCTTAGTAGGTACCTGAGTAAGAGAAGTATCTTGTATCGATGACAAAGACCATACTTGATGTCAAGCTGCCATGTCGAGAAGAGTAGAAGTTGTTGTGGCCTAACCAAATTTAAACTATTTAATTTTGCAAACACGCACACATAGATATATGTAAGCATATATAAGTGTAGGAAAACATTAATAACTTATAAATTCTATTAAAAAAATTACTTGATTAGATGTGTTTGTCAAGTAATTCGGAGCATGCTGAACATGGGAAACTTTGGACCTTAGCTCCGAATTTTCAACTTCCATAACATCCATTGTTGTGTCTTGGTTTGCTTTATGAGCAGATATATCTCTCCATAAATTAGACGGGGAGACACCTAATCCATACATGCGAACTCGTCCATGTTTTTCTTTACCCATCACTTGTCCAAATCCATCATTAGGGCCCTTATTTGATAAATTTGCATTTAAGGTTGTCCTCTCATTCATTTCATCCTATAAGGTTGCAAAAAACATAACTTAATATATACATTTCAATAACTCAACACTATAATATGGAAATTTTAACTAATCTACAAGTTCAAATCGACATAATTATTTGGTACATACTATCATTGCTTTCGTTGCCTCAGGGGTTCCTGTCTCTTTTGTATAACATAGTTTAAACATGTAAGCACAAGTTGGAGAGTGTCCCAACTTATTTTTCTACAAAATAATATATTTCAAAATATAAATTATATCATTATGCCACATTATGTATACCTTATCATATTAAATATACAACATAAAAAGATAAATTAACATGCTCCTTTCGAACACGTGGAAAATTTTTTGTTCCAGTAGTATGATTATACTTTCGCTCTACACGACTTGCTTTGTTTTTATCACTTTGTGCCTAAAATTACAAATGCATAAATTAATGGTGTCCAAACTACAGTAAGTAAAATAACATATAATGATCAGATCGAGTATACCTTTACTTCTTCGATGGCCCAATACTTAATAAGGTGTTCCCACTGATCAGCATATACTCTACTATCTTTATAATGCTTTTGTTCGTCAAAACTCAAGTGGTTCTTATAATAATTTTTCTTTATGTTTGCCTTCCAGTCTTTTAACTTCTTACTAGAGCACTTCATAACCCACTTCCTAGCATAACTTGGAAGATCAAACTTTGAGCACCCCCGCTCGCCCGATCAAAGATCGGCCTCTACTAACCATCATATCTAGTTTGGAAAACATTATGCGTTCTTAAACCGGTTATTAGCCTAGATTACCATGTGATGCGCACAGCATACAAGTATAGACTGGGTCGCCTGAATTGGAACAAAGCATCTCATGTTTGTTTTGAAAATGGTTTGATGGTGCTACCCGCAAGTAGGCTAAGACATGGATTTGCCACCCTCGGATGGGCTTAGAAAACATGATTTTGCCACTATCTAGTGGGCTTAAAACTCACAATTAATGAATTGTTCCAATTCAAATAACCCAATCTTCACCCACAGGCATTCAGGCAGTTATATCATATAAGCACATTGCCTCATGGTAAGCATGCTATCATGGTAGTCACTCACACACATGCAAGGATGCTAAAACAAAAACTCTTACCGAGTACTCCAAGCTAAAACAAAACCTCTGTTAGAAATCCATGCATGATCCTAACTAAACAGAAATGCCTAATGCAACACATGCAAAAATGCAACTACAATAGGCTCGGCTATTCTAAACATGGCATATGAAATGCAACGGATAACATGTATTCAACTCGAAATTGAAATACAATGCAGTTAGTATGATACGCCAAGCCCGGTGCATGCAAGACAGATGAATGATGCAAACATGCTATCATAAGTATGCTAATTGAAACATGCTATAATCTAACCATCATAAGCTGGTAAATAAAAGGGAGAAAGACGTGGGGTTGGAAGACATGCATCACACGCACGCACACTTATTACAACATTGCCCTCGCTTGGAGGGTCCGAATAAATAATATACAGTCCGAATAAATAGTACAATCCGAATAAATACAAAATCTTAATTAATTAACAAATTAATCTAGGAAAGCAGGTAAATTAGCACACAAATCCATGGACCGCCTCAGCTCTGTTCCGAATGATGAATGATGCATGCTCGGGTTGCCTTCGTCGGGAAATTCTTTACGATGCCCCAGTTTGCCTTTGTTCGCAAGTGTTCTCGAAATATTGTGCAAAGCCCTAGAAGGCTACTGATTTCTGATTTGCTGCAACAGAGAACAACAAGGGGCATGGCAAAGTATTTTCACATATGTATACATGACTACTCTTCAGGGAGTGTAGTCCTCGATTCTCGTGCCACCAATCACGCATCTCGATGCATGATGGCCAAGGAGTCGAATTGCACGACTCAATGTGAAATGAATGCACATGAAAACACAACAAGTCCTAAACTCCATCATGGGTAATCCGAAGTGTCGGCGACCGAGAATTGAGACACGTTCCGTCACTCGGAGTACGAAACGTCCCTCGTTTCCCGTGCTTGGGCTAACTCCTATCCCAAACACAATGCAAATGAGATGGCATACACAATGCGACTAACATACAACCTAGCATACGCAATGCTATGAAATGGCATACACAATGCTCGATGTAACATGGCATACACAATGCTCTAACACGCAACCTAGCATACGCAATGCTATGAATTGGAAAGGGATACACAATGCATAATGGACTTACACCAACATGAGTGGACCTCAGCCCCACTCACATCAGTAGCCATTAGATGAAAATGAGACGACCGAAATGCGTGCACACATGCACGCATACCGAGGACCGAACCTAAGGCATCAAATGCCACTCTACCAAAGCATGGCAAGGGATGAAAGATGGCCTATGAACATGTAATTTCCAGCACTAAAACATGATGCTAAATGGTCCCAAAACATAGAAATATGGCACCCGATGCATGGAATAAGCCTCGAAACTCAAAACTAGGCACATGTATTGAACCACAAGTATACAAAGAAAGCATTATTTGGTCATGAAGTCAAAAGACAGAGCCAAGGCAGTCCCAAAACATGCACATTTCTAGTTTAGAGCATGGCCAAAAGATGCTAACATGATGGACTAAAATAGCATGCAACATTGGCTAGCAAGCATGGTTTACATGGCATGTATATGAAGCAAATGAGAACTCATCAAACCAGTTAAAAATAGTGAATAAAACATGCCAAAATATGCCCAAATAATCACTGAAATGCAGCCAATGCATGCAAAAATGAGGGGCTTCTTTGGAGGGCCTTGCAAGGGGTTGTTAAGCATATACAAGATAGACATGAAGAATAGAAAAACCACCTCTGGAAATGGACTATAAAAGCCCTAAAACTCACCAAATTGGCCCTGAAATGGGTCTAGGAAACATGCAAAGAAAGGCCCCTTTGAAAGGCCTTGGATGGGATTGCTCTACACATGCATTGTAGGTATAAAATATGGCCAAAAGGGCCTTGGACAGCGCCAAGGCAGACCTTAAAACTCACATAATGAGGCCTGAAACAAGACTTCGATGCATGCAAAATAGGGTCCCTTTGGAAGGCCCAAAAGACCCCCAAACAAGACAAGGAGAGAGGGGGTCACCCCTCTCTAATTTTGGCCCTCAAAAATGCATCTAAGCCACTAAAAATCCACTGGATTTCAGTGGCTAAGAGGCCAAACCATGGCCAATGCAAGTGCTCTAATGCATAGCCTTAATCATGAAGGGATGAAGCATGCATAGGGGGAAGATGACCCCAAATGGAAATTGGACCTTAACAAAACTTGAAGAGGATTTCAAAACAAGACTTTTTTCAGTTTATAGAAAATGTCGAAAATGCTCACAAGTAAGGATAAAATAGGATGCAAAAATAGCCCTAAAAGAGAGATTGAACAAACAAGGAAGTAAATGACTTCAAACAGTAAAGTGCCCTTAAACAAAGTTTATGAGAGGCTCAAAATAAGTCACTTTACAGTTTATATAAAATCTCGAAATTGCTCACAAGTAGGACTAAGATATGATGCAAAATAGGCCTACAAAGAGGGGTAAAGCATGCAAGGGTGTAGGAGGCCTCAAACAGAAAAGTGTCCTTATACAACCTTCAAGAGGAGCTCAAAATATGACACTTTTTAGTTTATGACAAAGTCCATAAATGCTTTCAAGTATGGAAAAAATAAGGAGCAAAATGAAGACCAAAAGAGAGAAAGAGTATGTTACCCTTGTAGCCAAGAACTCCAGCAGCAAAAGGGGTCCAAACTCTGAGCTAAAACCAGATTTTGGAGCTCAAAATGATCCTCAAAGAACCTCAGCCCAATGGTAGTTGAGTTTGATCAAGGGTGTTTAGGCAAAGGAGAGGTATATCTCCAAGTATATCACTTGCTATGCACACCAAGGCAAGAGAAGGAGAGAGAGGCTGAGATTTGGCTCTGGAAGTTGTAGAGAGAGAGAGACTTTTTTTAGAGTGAGAAGCTCCCAAGCTTCTCCAAGAAGTTTCTCTTTGAAAAATGGGAGATATATCATCATATATAGCAAAAATGAGAGTTGGCTCGAAAATATCTGATTATAGGACAGCTGGAGGTTGTGGAAGACAGCTGGAGAGAAAATATCTGTCAATTCTGAGCTTTCTGGGCATAAGTGGTCGGCCGGTCTGCTACTTTTCCTGGTCGGCCGACCACTTTTTCAGGAGAGGGTGGTCGACCAACCACCTTTTCTGGTCGGCCTGCTACTTTTTTGGTTTTTCAGAACAAAAAAAAGGTCTGCTGGAAAGAAAGGTGGCCGGCCAGTGATTGGGAAGTCCAAAAGTGGTCGTCCAGGTGTGAAAACTGAAGCCCCGGAAGTTATCTTTCCAATGGTGCAAACCTTTCATTAAAATTTCATTTGTGTGAAAAGTTATGCCTGTTTTGGTGAAGCCGCGCAGATTCGGTCCAACCGGGTTGATGCCCTACTTCAACCAACCATATCTCCTCCGTCCGGACTTAGATTTAGGAGATTCTTCAGTGCAAAATGAAGCCCCGGAAGTAAAATTTCCAATGGTGATGGCCTCATAGCTAGCATCCAAGTATGAAAATGAATAAGCCCGATTAAGCGAGGGCTGCTCGACTCTCTCCTACCCGGATTCATGCCGAATTTCTCCCAAACTAGTTTCTTCCCTCTTCTCTTCTTTTCTTCAACTTCAAACCCCTAAGTAAGGTGTTTTGAAAGATTTTTCAAAGATTTCATCTCTCTTTCATTCATTTCCACTTTGCCCTTGCTCGGTTTACCGAAAAGCGCAACATTTAACGAAATGGGAGCGTCAGAACATCGTAGGAACTTTATTTTCAAAACGTTTTGAAAAAGAGGGTTTCAAGTCTAAAATCTTTTGATCAAGATTGTTTTGGTCCAAAAAAGGGGTATGAAGTTGAGATTTGACTCTCTTTTTGCCGAAGAAACTGAACATTTGCCCTGCATACCTTTCTCCATCAAGTAAACCATCAGTCGCGTCCAAGTCTTAAGGACGGTCAAAAATGGGGTGTCTACACCTGTACAAGTGCCCATATGTGATCTTTGTAATGTTCTGGGACTTTATGCCAATTCTTGTAAGTGAGCGGCGCATTTTTCCCATCACGCACAATAGTTCCAATGAACGATGATAACTTTGTTGCCAATTTGCCATCAGGTTGGTCGAGTTTGTTCCAATTGACTGTTAGGCGCTCATCATCACGAGTACCCCAAATATTACGCATTTGCATGGGACCTCTAGTTTTCTTTTTTCCATTAGCACCATCTAGTTATAAAAAATAAATAAATAATAATACTAATAATAAATTATATACGAAGAAATAATAACATTTTTATAATGTTTGAACTTGCATACCTGCATTATCATTGGGTTGGCTAGAATTTGGATGTATCTCAGATGGAGTTGACTCACTAAACTCACCAACATTGCCCAAGCGAAACTGAAGATATGGGTCCATAGGCTTTTTGCTTTATAGATGAATCCTAGCATGATTCAAGTAAAATAGACAAATCAAATTGTAAACTTAGAATGATCCAAATAAATTATTTGCAAATGAACAAAATACTTAAAGAAAATTAACAAAAAAAAAAATTGTGAATTCACCTTTATTGCGTTGCTATCTTGGTAGTGACTAAATGTAACATATAGTGAATAAATATTTTGTAGCCACATATGAAAATCACATAGTTAAATTAAAAACGCATTATTCATTCTTCAAACAATCAATTAAATTAACAAAAACAATGATAAAGAAAGAGAACAAAATAAAACTATAGAATTGTTTTCAAATATAAATAACTAGCAATGTTCAATAAGTTTAACAGTCACATAAGATCTAATTCTTCCTCATCTCCATTATCATCTCCATCATCATGAACAGTGCTGTCTCTCAACACCTGAGAAAATGGTGTATCTACAATTCCAACAGACATGTCTGTCCGAACCAAATCAAAATTATTGTCCCCATTACCACTTTGTGTATTGCATACAACACTCTGCAAGTATGCCTTCACATTGTCCACAGAAGACCCCGCATTCATATCATAAAAATCTCTTGGATTTATCTTGATAGCAACTTGCCAATCTTTGTGTTTCAGGTCTTCTACATACATTACCTGTTCTGCTTGAGAAGCCAACACAAAAGGCTCAACATCTTTCATTAATTGTGCAAAGTTGACTAGTGTGCAATCTTTATCTTGTCTTTTCCCTGATTGTGACACTCATTCACCTTTAAATAACACGACCCTCTTCCCAAACAAATAATCTAACTCAATTATATCTGTTAACACGCCATAAAATGTAACATCTCCAGAGACCGGCCTTCCATCTCTACCACTTGCAAAGCTTCATGTTTTTGCCGTGACAATAATCCCACTATTTTGAGTTTTTTTCTTTTGTTCAATCTCCTTAGTATGGAACCTAAAACCATTTATCAAGTATCGCTTATATTTTGTGAAAATTCTATTTGGACCATGAGCCAAACATCTAAGCTCTTCAGTTATTTGACTATCCCCTGCATTACGGAATTCCTCAACCTGTTTTCAGACAATTGATGACATAACTTTTGTAAGTGTGGAATGAAATTGAAGTTAATATCAAATCAAATTTTAAGGAACTTCAAAACACTTCTTACATGTTTATCAAACCATGTTGGAAATGTTTCACTATGAATGTGATCAATGGCCATTTCACGAAGACGTGGATTTTGTATGGAAACAAGTCTACGGTGTTGTCTGTATGCCATATAAAAGATTTTCAAGGGTGTGGCAAAAGTATGTAAAATAATAATAATAATAATAATAATAATAATAATGAAATTGATTACAGATGTCGAGTGTCTTACTTAATAAATTTGTTGACTGTCTCACAATTAAATAGCACATATTGATGTGCCTTTTTTTTTGTGCCATCATCCATTGTGTCTATCACGCCCTTACCTAATGGTCGGCCAGGCATTGAGAAAATAGATAATCCTTTGGTACCATTACCCCCCTCATCATAATTTCGAGACATCCGGTTGAATCGTGTCTCAACACCTTCCATATACCTCGAGCAAAATGTCAAGCATTCATTTGCAAGGTATTCTTTTGCCATACTACCCTCCGGTGGACTTCTATTTCACACATATGACTTTAATCTACTCAAGTACCTATGTTTTGGTAAGTTCAAAAAACAAAATTTTGAATGATGTTCGATAATAGCAAAAGTAAAATATAATAATGATGGTAAAGAAATATGTAATTTAATATAAACTTTACCTCTCAACAGAATACATTCAACGATAATGCACAGGTCCTGCTAATCTAGCCTCAGATGCTAAGTGAACCACCAAATGCACCATAATGTCAAAAAAGTTAGGGGGAAATATTTTTTCAAACTTACAAAGTGTTATCGGAATTTGCCTTTCAAGACGCATAAAGTCTTGTGCCAAACCAACTTTAGAACATAACTCTCGAAAGAAATTACTCAACTAAATCAAAGGTGAAGTTACATGTGAACTCAACATTCCTCGAACTGCTAAAGGGAGTAATTGTTGTATCAAAATATGGCAATCATGACTTTTAAGTCCAAAGATTCTACGTTGCTTTAAGTGGATGCATCGTGAAATATTCGCTGCATAACCATCAGGAACTTTAACAGTCTTCAAAACTTTACAAAAAACATCTTTTTCTTGTTTCTTTAATGAGAAACAAGAAGGAGGCAAGATGGTTTTATTTGCTGCATTTTCTTTTGGATAGAGTTCAGGCCTTATACCTTGAAGTTTCAAGTCAAGACGTGCATTTAGATTATCCTTTGTCTTCCCCTCTAAATTCAGTAATGTTCCAAGCAAGCTCTCACATACATTTTTCTCAATGTACATCACATCAAGATTGTGACGCACTAGATTATCCTTCCAATATGGTAATTCAAAGAATATGCTTCTTTTCTTCCAATTATATGGTAATTCTGGATTAGTACTCATCTTTCCATAAGTGATATTGAAGCCATGTAACATATCCAATACCATAGAACCAATTAAAGGATTGGGTCCAGTTCTTTTTTCTTTAGTACCATCAAAAGATTGCTCATCATCTCGAAATGCATGATGTTTGTCCATGAATCGACGATGACCCATGTAACAATGTTTTCGGCCATGCTTCAACCACTGGAAGCATGTGTCTTTGTGGCATGAAGGGCATGCATACTTCCCCTTAGTACTCCACCCTGACAAATAAGCATAAGCAGGGAAATCGCTGATAGTCCACATTAATGCGGCACGCAATTGGAAATTTTGTTTAATTGATGCATCATATGTCTCTACTCTATCCACCCATAATTCCTTTAATTCATCTATTAAAGGTTCCAAATACACATCAATATTATTTCCAAGTTCACTACGACCAGGGATAATCAATGATAATAGAAAATTGGTCTGCTTCATACACATCCATGGAGGCAAATTATACGGTATAAGAATTACAGGCCAGGTGCTATACGTGCTGCTCAATGTTCTGACAGGGTTCACACCATCACATGCCAACCCAAGTCTGACATTTCTACAATTTGCTGCAAAATCAGAATGTAGGTGGTCAAAAGTCATCCAAGCTGGAGAATCAGCAGGATGTCTTATACAACCATCATTGGTGCGACCTTCTTTATGCCACTTCATAGATGATGATGTTTTGGATGACATGAATAACCTTTGTAGCCTTGGTATCAAAGGAAAGTAATGTAGAACCTTAGAAGGCGTTTTATAGCTGCCTTTTTTAGAGGATGCCTCGTTGCCTGAATCATTTTGCTCTGTTACATACCTAGATGTATGGCAAACATAACATTCAGAATCAGTTTTGTGCTCATTCCTATACAACATGCAATCATTGGGACATGCATGAATCTTCTCATAACTAAGTCCTAACTCCATGACTATTTGCTCAACTTCATAAACAGTATTAGGCAGTGTTACACCCTCTGGGAATGCCTCCCTCAATAACTCTAATAACATGGTGAACGATTTATTACTCCATCCACCTAAATTCTTGATATGAAATAACTGAAGGATGAATGAGAGCTTTGTAAAATTCCTACATTGTGGATAAAGCTCCTTGTGTCGATCATGTATCAACTTGTAGAACTTCTCTGCTTGTGAATTTGGTTTATCTCCCAAATCTTCAGGGTTGTCTCCATCGACTCTATCATTGTCATTTGAGATTCCAAATGCCTCATGAACTAATCTATGTGTATCAATATTTAATTGTGGCCTATCTGCATGTGCGTATCAAGACCTGTTGTAGCAACAGATGATGCTTCACCATGTAAAACCCATTTAGTGTAACCCTTTGTGAAGCCATCACATACTAAGTGATCATATGCAATTGACCGAGTGACGGGAAGTGTAAGTCCACACTTGATGCATGGACATATGATCTTATCCTCATAACTTGCATTAGTAAATGCAAAATCGAGAAACATGTCAACTCCTTTCTGGTATGCATCACTTAATCTTGATCGATACATCCATGTCTTATCCATAAGTAAACAATCTCGATTAAACAAGTGTCCAAAGTGTTTCTAGAACATTAAAAAAAGTATATATCAATAACAAGTATTTGTAAGTTATGATTGACAAAAACAACTAAACTTTATTTTGCAAGAACTATAAGATACTAACAACAATGTAGAACATAACTCTAATAATATATTGCTGCATGACTATAAGCCAACTCATGTCAAGAAAAAACATGTAAAAAAATTTATGTATTACAAAGTCAATGCAATATCATTATTTCAATAGCAATTCATATGGTAGTGGAGCTTTGGGAATGTGAAGAAAGCATTGTACATTATTTCAATAGCAATTCATTCTATATATCAGTGTAAGAAAATGACATCAAGGTTCTATACCGATTACATCTAATTAGTAACCAGTAAATTAGCAAAATAGCACAAGTTGTTGCTATTGAAGCTAGGATTGATTCAAAATTTTGGTTTTTTAATCCGATTACTTCATGATTGTGAACAGCTGGTATTCTATGTGTTCACCCCTGCACTTATTGTTAGCAATCTGTCCAGTACAATCAAAGTAACCGATATAGTCTCTTTGTGAGTAGATTCTCTATTTACCTTCTTCTTCTTCTTCTTCTTTTTCTTCTTCTTTTCTTAAAATTCCTCTTTATTTTGCTATTTAATTTTTGGGTTTAATGTGTAGGTGGTTCATGCCTCTGAATATCCTCCTCACATTTATTATTGGTTTAGCACTTGGATGGATACTTGTTAAAATCACCAAAACTCCTAAACATTTTCATGGCCTCGTGATTGGTTGCTGCTCTGCAGGTACATCAACATCTCCAAAAAATTTGCAAAAATCTTTCTCTCAAATTGTAAATGTGTATTCACTTGGCCGTGTAGGTGGTTCATGCCTCTGAATATCCTCCTCACATTTATTATTGGTTCAGCACTTGGATGGATACTTGTTAAAATCACCAAAACTCCTAAACATTTTCATGGCCACGTGATTGGTTGTTGCTCTGCAGGTACATCAACATCTCCAAAAAAATTGCAAAAATCTTTCTCTCAAATTGTAAATGTGTATTTACTTGGCCATTTAAATCCTTGTACCTGTGGATAGTTGTGGTGCCAACCTTGGTAAATTTTAAAGGCTACTTAGGTGTTGTTAGGGAACAACACAAAAAAAATCAAAAATTCACTTCAAAAAGTCAACCCATTCTTTCTACTATTTTACACGCTTTTTTTGTAAAAGAAATTAAAAAACCACTAAAAATAGCCTCTCGAGTTGTGAGAATTATTGTTTTGTTTGATTGTTTCCTAGGCTCTCGGGTTGTGAGAGTTTCCTTTTCTAGAACGTTGCATAGGATATATTTTTTAGCCTGCTATTGTCAGAGAAAGCTTTTTGGTT